CAAAGTGTTGGATACAAATAGGAAACCCTAGCATCTGTACCCTTTGAAATGCATCTCACTACAGCCTAAAACTACTATATTTGACAAGAAAGTGCACGTATAATGGCAAAGCCCTAAGCGAGAATATCTTCTGAGGACATGTCAGAAGTAGGAACGTAAGTACAAGTGTTACCCAACCCTTAAATGTTGTACCCTTTAGGGTATGCCCCACGACAGCGTACAGAGAATAAATACATTTTGACACACCCCCATAGGCAAAGCGGGGGATAGCAAACACAGCGTACGGTCACAAGATCATTCAAGCAAGAGAACAGAGCAAAGAAAGCTCAGGGTGGATCTCAAGATCACTACGCATTCTGAGCACAAGCAAGTGGCCACAAGGCCAGTTCACATGCAGAGTTATAAAAGCACAAGCAGTACAGTGATTACAACCTAGCAAGAACAAGCATGCAGGTATACATATATATATACATATATAGATCACAGTAAAAAACAAGTCAAGCAACCAGCAGGTGAGGCGGAGTAGGCACAAGGCCTAGAGCAGTGCAGAAATGCTGATGATCACTAGACCCAAGGGCCTTGGTGAAGACATCCGCAGTGTTGGCTCGAGAGGCCACGTAAGCAAGGCGCAGCTGACCACGCTACTGCAGCTCCCGAGCAAGGAGGTAACAAAGAGCAATGTGCTTCGCTCTGTGCTCCAGTCTCTGCTCCTGACACAAGGCAATCATGGCCTTGTTGTCAACGTATAGAACCGGGTCTCCCTCAGGGCGAAGCAGCATGGATGCGAAATGAGGTAAAGCGGCTGCGAGACACTCAAGCTCAAACGACCTGTCCTCAAGGACGTCACAGCCAAGGGCAAGCTCACCCTCGACTGACGGAGGACAGACAGACTTAGACTCAGTAACAAGACTCGCCACGTAGTCGAGACGACTCCTAGTAGCAAAGTTGACGAGCTCTATGACTAGGGCAAACGCAGCAGTAGACTCAAAGTTAGGGTCAATGATGACAGTAGCGAGGACCTCCTACACCAGCAGCTCCAGCACCTCGAGTACCAGCAGCTCCAGTACTTCCAGCACCAGCAGCTTCAGTACCTCCAGTACCAGCAGCTCTAGTACCTCCCGCACCAGCAGCTCCAGCACCTCTAGCACCCCCAGAACCACCAAAGCCCACAACGAGAAGCTGCGGAGGCGGTGAAGACGGCCGAGGGGGAAAACGAGGAGGGGTCTCCAAGCACGTGGAGCGGCGAGTGGCCGCCGTATCGTCAGCCGCGGGGTCACCCCCCTTAGCTGGGCCAGAGGAGTCAGAGGAGACGTCCAAAGGCTCAACCAAGGGGGGTGGGTCGACCTGGGACACACCTGAGGGAGCAGGACCCTTCAGGGGGAGGGGGTCTACCGGATGACGACCTGGGATGAGGAAGAGGGGCGGCGGGGAGAGCGGGGAAGACGTGATTTGGTGGAGACGGTAGAAGCAGACTGACTCATCAAACATGACGTCCTGTGAGGATAGGACCCGGCGCGAGGCAGGGTGGTAAAACTGTTAGGGCGGAGCGTCGTTGGGAAAGCCAAGGAAGACACAGCGGAGAATGCGAGGGGAGAGCTTGCTCGCGGTGGTATCGCAAATAAGGGAGAGCGCGCCCCAGACCCGAAACGCTGACGCATCACCAACCTCCCCCGTCCAACGCTGTGTAGGCGAGGTCTCTGGCACAGAGACACGGGGCCAGAGGCTGAGCTGATGCGCGGCGTAACGGACCGCAAACGGCCGCAGAAAATGGGGAGTAGCCGCATGGATCATGGAGGTGCGAGCAACGTCCATGACTAAGCCAATGCGGCGCTCAGCAATCCCATTTTGCTGAGGAGAGGCCAGAAGCATGAACGTCTAGCGGATGCCCTCTGCACAACAAAAGTCCCGAAGGACGATGGAGGAAAACTCACCGCCTCTGTCAGAGTGCAGTCGCAGGACCTGGAGGTCCTGCTCAAATCGAGCGCGTAGCTGGCAACAAACAGCGATAATCCAGTCGATCAAAACATCTCGGACTTCTGCCCTGCTCTGCAACGAGAAGACCATGGTGTAGCGCGTGTAGTCGTCAACAACCAGCAAAAAGTAGCGCTCCTGGGCCTGTCCATGGACGCGCGCTGGGCCCCACGCGTCCATGTGGAGAGTCTGCAGAGGAGCAGTGGTCGGCGGAAACGAGGAGTGAGGAGCGGCGCGCTGCCGCCCCTCGACACAGGGAATGCACGGTGGTGCAAGCGAGCGCGGGAGCGGGCGCAGGGACCTAGGGAGGCCAGAGACAAGGAGACGAGAGTGCATGCCACGCAAGCGCAACAGGGAGGGGTGACCATGACGGTGGTGCCAAAGGAGGGTCCGGTGCGAGAGTAGCCAGCACGAACAAGACGCAGCCAACGGACCCGACGCAGGCACCTGTGCAAACACAGTCACTTGACCTGACACAGCCACCTGTGCGGACTCAGTAGTTAGTGTGTACAGGCTAGACCCAGGGCTCCGGGGGAATGTGGCGAGGTGCTCGCAAGTGCGTGAGTCCGAACAGATCGCCACACGCTCACCTCCACGAGTGAAGGTACTGATCAACTCATCCTGGAGGATAGCGTTACTCACCAAGTTCTTAGAGAACGAGGGGATATGGAGACCGGACAGAGAACCGGAGGGGACTGCAGAACAAGGGAGCACATTGGAGGCTCGTGCAATGACTGGACCCCCAGAGGGGTCAGCCAAAGAGACTGGAACAGGTGCTATGAGCGGTGTGACTGTTGTGCAATCACGAAAGAAATAGCGAGACGTGCCTGAGTCAAGTGTGAGGGTGTGCAAAGCCTCAGCAGAAGCAGTACTTGCGGCAGCAGACTCACAAGCACCTAGAGCAGCAGCCTCTACACCAGCAGTGCGCGACACGCACGAGTAACAGTCATTGGCCCCAGTGGAGCCATGCTGAACCACCCACTCACGAAACTCCTGAGGGGTGCGTGGCTGCTGCTGCTGTCCACCCCCAGAGCCTTCGCCTCTACGAGGTGCACCACCAGTCGTCGTCCAAGAGCCTTCGCCCCACGACCTCCACTCGAGCCCCCTCCGCCCACTCCACCGCCGCCACCACCCCATCCACCTCCACTGCCTCCACCACCGCCTCCACTCCCGCCACCACCACCGCCTCCACCCCCACCACCACCACCGCCACCACCCCCGCCACCATGCCCTCCAGTTCTCCCCCCCCCACCGCCCTTACCCCCCTTGCCCTTACTGATGCGGCGCCTCCCACTAGGAGCAGACGCAGCACCAACCTCCTCAGTGCAAAGGAAGTCAACGGCAGCAGTAGCAGCAATGGAGGGTGCGAGAAGGGAGGGAGAACACCCCTCAATGTTGGGGGAGTGGGGAGTGCCACGAGAGGCAGCGACAGCGATTGAGCTCTTCTCTGCCTGGAGAAGATGCTTCTCCAGCAGGGCAAGGGTGATCTTGGTGGGGTCGAGAGCAAGAAAGTGATCCCTAATGGCGCTCAGGGAGTCAGGGAGGCGAGTAACGAGGCAGTAGAGTGTGATGTACATCGGAGGTGGGCTCGCAGCCAGAAAGTCCGGCTTGAGAGCGTCACGGTAGCGAGCATCACTAGCGCGAAGGTGGGTGAAGAGGTCAGCAACAGTCTGGAACTCAGACAGCTCAGGGTGAAGGTACAGCAGCATGACCCGGCCTAGGGCAGCAGATGAGGGGAGGAGTAACGAGCAACTACAACATCATATAGTTCCTTCGCCGTCTTAAGCTGGCCGAAATGGACTCGTTCCTCAGGCGGGAGGGCATTGTGGACAGAAAGGCGGGCGGCAACATCGCAGGTGAGCCACTGAGTACGAAGTGCACGCGCAGCTGTATCCTCAGGGGCTAGGCAGGTACCGGACACGTGTTCTAACAGTGAAACGTCCTCCCTAGCCTGGCTCTGTAGGTACAGCTGGGTCCTCGAGCCAGCAGTCAAACCTAATCGGGCGACCCTCCACGTCAAAGGCAAGGACATTGATTGTAGCCATCGTTAATAGCAGCAGTAGCAGCATCAGTAGCACTAGCAGCAGCAGCAACAGTGTAGTAGCAGTAGCAGAAGCAGCAGTGTAGCAGTAGAAACCGATCTGCTAGGCAGCTAGGCAGCACGGCGCGGCTCGGCAGGGCGGCGCGACTCAGGCACGGTGGGGCAGTGCGGCACTGGCAGGAGCAGCAACGTAGCAATGGCTGTAGCGCAAGCAGGGCGGGCAGGGCGCAGGGCAGAGCGGGCAAGGCGCGTAGGGCTGCGCGCGTGCTGTGCAGGCAGAGCGCGGGCAGGGCGGGCCTTAGGGGCAGCGCACAGGCGACGCCAGCGGCGTGCGGGCAATGTGCGAGCACGGCGGGCAGTGCGCGGGCAGGGCGTCGGTGGTGCAGGAAGCGCGCGGGAAAGGCATGCAGCGCGCGGGCAAGGCAGGCAGCGCGCGGGTAGGAAATGCAGCGCGTGGGCAGCAGCAGCAGCAGCACGGGGGCAGGGCGCACGTAGGCCTATGGCAGCGCGCTAGCAGGGCAGCGCGAGCAGGCCGCTGACAGGGCAGCGAGCGGGTCGCGTGCTAGGCAGCTGTGCAGGCAGCGCGACAGGCAGGGCAGGCTGTGCAGGGCAGTGCAAGCAGGGCAGGGCAGTACGGGCAGATTGGGCAGATCAGGCAGGTAAAAAACTATCGGTGGGCCCTAATGGAGCGGTCCTATGGACGGACCCGCTCTGAATACCATGTCAGAAGTAGGAATGAAATGATGGTGGACTAGGTAGGGGAGGTGAGTACAAGTACTACCTAACCCTAAAGTGTTGTACCCTTTAGGGTATGCCCCACTACAGCCTACAGAGAACAAATACAATTTGCCAGGACATGCTGCCACTTTGACTACAATCCAAGAGATGAGTGGAAGGCCCTGTCGAGTTCGCGAATTTAAGCCACACCGTAAAACTTCTCAACATGCCGCAAATTGATGGCGTGATAGCGACACTTACAACTAATTCCTCACAGCCCAGCACTGTGGAACACCTGTAGAAGGAAATCACAACACAAATGTGTCGATTTTTTAGTCATGGTCACATTTCTAAGGGTAAGCACAAAGCAGAATGAGACTGTACTGCAGGCCTTGAGACAAACTGCAGAAGATGGAGGAGGGATAAGAGTGCCAACGGTACGAACCAAGTACACATGGCACCACTAGTGTAATCTTTGCTGGGCAGAAAACTATGATTACTAAAACATGCAACGATGCACTCAGGAGTGGTAGAAGTGGTAAAAATGGGCATGGGTTTATAGAAAAGGGATACTGGCAAAAAGTTGCCAACAGTGTTAGAACGGACACTCACCTCCCACAGAGATTGGATTTCCCCCTCAACCCTCGTAGCAACTTCCCGGAAGTTCTCCATCCGTGCACTCAACACTTCCACCCACTCCCCGCCATCCATTGCACCGGCCGCACCACCACTTGCCTCCATTTTCCTCTCATCCAGGCGTTGCTGCAACTCACCCAACCTCCAAGCCACCTCAACCTTTCCCGCCTCCACCTCCTCCCTCAACTCCCTTATCCTCCCTGCCTCCTCCGCCCTTCCCTCTTCCACCTCACACCTCAACTGATCCAACTTGCCCAATATCCTCTTCTCCCGCTCCTCCACCAACATAGCCATTTCTGCCTTCATCTCAGCCTTCAGCTCGTCCAGGCACTTCCTTACATCACTACTTCCGTACTTCAGACCCTCGACCTCCTTCCTCAGGCTATTGATGGCTTTTTTCCTTTCCTCCTCTACTTTTGCCCTTCCTGCCACCTCAACCTTAACCTTCTCCATGTCATCCCTCATCCTCTCCACCTCATTCTCGAGACCAGCCACGTCAGCCTCATTCCCTTCCCCATTACCCCTCACTACCCCGTCTTTCTCGTCTGACTCACTCACTCTACCGAACATAGCCAAATTCTCCACAGCAATATCACCAGTACTTTCCATCCCGCCACTGTCATAATCAACCCCATGCTCCTTTGTGTATTCCATCAATGCCCTTTCCATGCCCTTCTCAATGCCCTTCTCAAAATACTGTCTCTCACCCACTTCCTTTCATCACTACTTCCGTACTTCAGACCCTCGACCTCCTTCCACAGGCTATTGATGTTTTTTTCCTTTCCTCCTCTACTTTTGCCCTTCCTGCCACCTCAACCTTAACCTTCTCCACATCATCCCTCATCCTCTCCACCTCATTCCCGAGACCAGCCACGTCAGCCTCATTCCCTTCCCCATTCCCCCTCACTACCCCGTATTTCTCGTCTGACTCACTCACTCTACCGAACATAGCCAAATTCTCCACAGCAATATCACCAGTACTTTCCATCCTGCCACTGTCATAATCAACCCCATGCTCCTTTGTGTATTCCATCAATGCCCTTTCCATGCCCTTCTCAATGCCCTTCTCAAAATCCTGTCTCTCACCCACTGTACGCCGGTCCCGGTCAAGGCCTTCACCTTGGAACGTGATCTGCTGGACCCGAGAAGAGTGGATGGAATGATCCGGTCCGAAACAAACACCAGTAGCAGTAGGGGCAGGGGGCAGGACAGGGCAGAGAAGGCGGTGGAACGAGGGGGGGAAAGGGAAGGCGGAGGTGAAAGGGAGACGGGGGGAGATTTGGGAGAAGGGGGAGCGAAACGCAGAGGAGGGAAGCGAGGAGGCGGCGGGGAGAGGAGATCAAAGGAGGAAAGGAGATGTTTATGCGGTGCTGCGTGTTTACGCGGTTACTCAGTCCTGAGGAGCACGAGGGGCTGGTGCAGATGCTTATCCAAGCGCAGTGACTGAGGGACAGAGTGGCCGAGCTGCAGGTGAGGCTTGTGGTTTGCTTGTGTGGATGTGTGGTGGTGGTATCAGCACAGAAGCAATAATTTCGAAGGAAGACATGTTTGTGCGCTGCTGGAGATGTTTCTGTGGGAGATGTTTCTATGGGAGGTGTTTCTACAGTTCCTCTGCGCAGAGGAGCACGAGGGTCTGGCAGATGCAGAACCTAACTCAAATAAGAGAGACTGAGACAAAGTGGCTGTGCCGCAGGTGAGGGTTGTAGGTAATTAGTGCTGATTTGAGACATCAACTGCTGAGTATGAACTCCCCGCCCCACTGCTACTGCTACTGCTGCTGCCATCACGTGCCTTTCCACCACCTCTTGTTACACGTTCATGTTCTATTACCAAGCTCGTGTTTGCCCTCCCTTTCCATCTTTGAAAGTTGCACTCACAGCAACCAGCACAGCACCATCAGCAAGAAGTCCCTCCTACCCATCATCTCATGCTCCATCTTCCCTGCTCGTTCGTCCCACGCGTTCTTCACCCCTCTGCCACTTTTCCCGCACTCTCTTTATTCCTTTGCCACTTGTGCCACCAGCCATTGGCACAGCATCATCAGAAGGTCCCTCAGCTGCTCTTGACATCTCCTCCCACCCCAGGTGTGCTTCTATCAACCAAGCCAAGGTAAGAAATTTATTCCCAATAGATCAATATGTGCCGCTATCAACCAATGTGGTATCATGACGATTATCTTCTTCTAAGTTCCAACCATACACATGTCCCCGATACTCGTTTCCATGCTGCCTTCATGCCTCTCGGTGGTGTCGTGACTTCTTTGCTCTGCCTTCAAACTGTCTTTGCCTCCGTCTCTCTTCTGTTGACTCCTGTTCCCTTCTGTCCAGCCCATAAGTCTCAACCAGACATATTTCCTTCCTCGTTACCTCCCTCCCTTCCCCCCTCTGATCCATGCATCCAATTGCACGTCCTTCTACTTGTGCATGTCTTCCGGATCATGAAAAAAAACGCCATCCACCCGCATGAAAACCGCCATGCTCTGCAAGTTTTTCAGGAGCGTGAGCCGTGCACGCACATGCGCCTGCTGCCAGCACACTACTTCTGGGTCAAGCAGATGAGATTCGAGTGCTGGGTCACCATTTCACGAGCAGCAGTGCACCGATTCTTCCGCCTTCCCTCCGCCACCTCTGATGCAATTTCCAGAATCATGGTGGGTGCTGGCTGGATAGCTGAAGCCGTGGGAGGTAGTGCTGGTGGGGGGATGGGAGGGGGGATGGTGAAGCAAGAAGGAATGTGAGTTCATGCTCTCTCCAGCCATTACTGATGGCAGGCTCTTGCTGGGGGTTGGCTGGATAGCTGAAGCTGTTGGTGGGGATATTTTTGCATGGGGGAAGGGAGCGGGGATGGTGAAGCAAGAGAGAATGTGGAATCAGGTTGTCTCCAGCCTCCACTGACCCCATCGCCACTTGCTTGGGGCCGGCTGGCTGGATAGCTGGATCCAGGGGGGGAAGGGGTGGGGGGGGAGGGGGGGGGGAGGGGGGGGGGGGTAATGCTGCTAGGGGGATGGATCAGGGATGGGCGATGGGACTGGGGATCAATGGTGAAGCAAAAAGGGATGTGAGACAATGGTGCTTAATCGGACGGCTGAGGCTTGGGGATAGCGCCAATGGGGGTGTTGGAGGGAATGATAGTGAGTGGGCGATGAGAGAGTTGAACATATTTTGATTTCACGACCGGAGCAAACGGTAATGCGCAAGATCAAACTAAGCATGCTATGTTGGTAGCAAGGTGTAGACCGATTTGGCCTTGTATAACAATGCGTGGTTCGACAAAATTTGGCACATGATGTTGTGGGAGAAGAAAGGTCTAGCCCGTGATTAGTGTGGGACGTAAGGAAATTGCGAATCTCCTTTCCTTCAAAGCAAGTCTAATAATCTGTACTTCTAGACTTGCTTTGAGATTCATTCGTGAAACACTAGCGCACAACGAATCACCAGAATCTGACGAAATCCCAGTTCACCCCTATTTCACGCCCTCCTCACGCCTAGCGAGGAATGACAATGACAGGTTTCTCACACGCATCGCAAGTACGTGCAGGCTACAAAAATCGTCGCAGAGTTTGCACGGATCATCGCGACGCCGATGGAGGACATGCGCGGAGGGTGCAGCGCTCAGGCGGGATGGGGAAGTGGGCCCGCGTCCCGACGTGCCCCATCTGGCGGCGATGGCGACGTTCGATGTCAAGGGCAAGTCGACTGACGTCAAGAGGACACACAAAACCGATGAGATCTGCTACCAACCTCCTAGAGGATTAGCGGCACAAGTTAGTTTCCAAGTTCCATGGTAGTTTTTTCGCTGTACGTTCTTCTCACAAAGCGCGTTGGCTCTTCCTCTGGTCAACAAGAGGAGCTGATTTCACAATGATGACGGCAACTGCACGGCTTTTGGAGGAGCTTTTGAGCATAGGAACAAAATTAGCGGTTCGATTCGAAGATGCTAGGAGGGAGTGTTGAACAAGAATGAATGAACTAACAGTGAAATGAGTACAAGTAGGAAACCCTAGAATTGTGTACCCCCTATAGGCTAACCCACTGTAGCCTAAACAACTACAACATATATATAATGTTTGACACAGCCCCATAGGCGGAGTGGGGGAGAACTAGGGGTCACAAGACGAGTCAAGTAAAGCAAAGCAAAGCAAGCTCAGGGTGGATCACAAAGTCACCACACATTCCGAGCACAAGTTCAAGGCCACAGGGCCAGTTCACATGCACGAGTACACCTATATATAAGGCTAGACAAGCAAGAGCAGCAATATATATATGTAACAGTACAAGCAAGGTCAAGAGGTGAGAAATTGAGGCAAGACAGGCACAAGACCCAGCTGGGTACAGAAGCGCTGATGATCACAAGGCGGAAGTGCCTTGGTGAAGACATCAGCAGTGTTGGCCTCAAAGGCCACGTACGCAAGGCGCATCTGACCACGGTGCTGTAGCTCACGAGCAAGGAAGTAGCGGAGAGCAATGTGCTTTGTTCTGTGCTCCAGTCTCTGCTCTCGACACAAGGACAGCATGGCCTTGTTGTCTACGTACAGGACTGGAGGAGAACGAGGCGGCTCTCCAAGGTCGGTCAGCAGGTAGGTGAGCCAGCGAAGCTCCTGAGCAGCCATGGCCCCTGCGTAGATCTCAGCCTCACAACTGGAGCCGAGAACAGAAGACGAGTGAGTAGCCCGCCACGAAACAGAGCCGGAACCAAGGCTGAAGGTGTAACCCTGTGACGACCGCTGCGTAGCCTCGTCGTTAGCCCAAGAAGCGTCTGCGTGCCCAGTGAGGACCACTGGACTCCGCCCTACAAGCACTAGCCCCATGCCCGACGTACTGCACAAGTAGCGCAACACCCTCTTCGCTGCAGCCATGTGCTCTGGTCGGTGTCTCCCAGGAGCAACATAGCGTGCAAGAATGCTAAGAGGGTATGCAAGGTCAGGTCGTGTGCAGGTCATCAGGTACATGAGGCAGCCAACAAGCTCTGCAAACGGGCCACTCGACTCTACGGACTCATCCGAAGGCAGAGCTGAGAGTGAGTGGCGAGTAGACAGAGGAGTGGCCTGAGGCGAGGAGTAAGTGAAGCCGAAGCGCTGAAGGACCTGCTACACCATGTGTGACTGAGTCAGGGTGATGGTGCGGCGTGCTCTGTCCCGGGTGACCTGCAAGCCAAGGTAGCTGCGCAGTTCACCCAGGTCTGTGCACGTGTGTTTCTTCTGCAGCTCTGACTTTACGTGGGCGAGTCCAGCAGTGTCAGCTGTGGCAAAGACCAAGTCGTCGACGTACACGAGGATGTAGAGCGGTGGCAGAGAGGTGTCGGTGCGTAGAAACAGCGACGGGTCAGAAGTGGAGGCAGCAAACCCAAGAGCCGCAAGTGTAGTCCTCAGTGTGTCGTGCCACTCACGCGGTGCGTGGCGGAGACCGTAGACCAGCCGCCGAAGGCTCCACTGGGTGCCAGGAGGAAAAGTCCCAGTGAAGCCAAGAGGGCGGCGCAACCAGATCTCCTCGTGCAGGCTGCCCTGCAGGAAAGCAGTGCTGAAGTCAAGAGAGTGTAGCTCTTAGTCCCGGTGAGCAGCAACGTGCAGCACT